TAGTTTAATGATGGAATAAATTTAATTCTCATCAATGTGTTGGCACAGAAATATTCTTATTCTAATGAGTTAAGTTATTTTGCTGAAAAAACATACAGTGCTTTGTTAAATAAGTAAAATTATAAATTAAGATATATATAAAGTTCGCCCCCTTACCCACTTAAGATTTAATTTGTCGTTTATACAAATGATTTCACTAGCACCGTCATCACAACATCAATCAATAAGACTAATGCTTAGTTAATTAAGATATATTAATATTCATTTTCCTATATAACATAGGCTTATATAAAAAATTCACAAAATATTTGATTTCGTTACAAACTAGAAACTATGTTAATCTACAACAACAAAAAACAGGCTTAAAAATGAACAATATAATTAAATATGCTTTAGATAAGGAAGTAATAAACGGTATCCATTTCACTTTCTTTCTAGTGTCTGTTCCTTTCTGAAATATTTCAGTGTATATGAAGGCAAGGCACTTTTGAGCGTATTTAAAATTTGAAAAACAACTTTTATCTAGATCCACAACATAACTACTGTGTTTCAGTTTGAATCATTCAAATCAGGCAATGCTTATGTAAAAAGTATAAAATCTTCATTGGGCTGCAATATATTAAAAATGCTTTGCTAGCACCTCCTTTGTTAAGTTTTTTAATTTCAAGGGTATCTGCTTTGTATTGGATACATTTATTAAATTGTATGTTATTTTACTGAATGGAATTGAACTACATACTTCATTATTAAACTTGTATTAAAACCGCATACAACAGGCAAATAATTAAATTAATTTACTGCTTGGTTCCTAAACCATTCAAAGAAATATAAATTTCAGTGACATACATGGAGCTAACGACAAAGACCTTGAACTTTTAGACAGATGTTTGGATAGAGAACCCCTTATCTTCAGAGTGTATGTACTTTTGAGAATGTTTAAATTGTATAATTTTTGTGCTTTTTGTCTCTTGTTAACTTATTTAACTAAATTCCTTTGATATTATTCCTTGTAATACCTTGTGATGAATTGGAAATATTTTAGTTCCTTATGGATTATCCTTCCACCCCCTACCTAATTGCCCGCACCGGTATAAGTCTATTAGTATATATCGTCAAGTTTGAACCATTTTCAATGCTAGTGTCTATCTAATGTGGATTTGAACTAAACCTAATTCTTAGATAATACCACTACTATTTTGCTTTGTCTTTGTCTTATTATTGTCTCAATTTTTCTAACTTATAGATATGTCGACGCCTTTACACATTTCTTGTTTCATAAATTATCAAAAAGGTCTCCCGATCATATAAACATTATTATATGTTATGTTGTTTATATGTTTTAATAAACATTATAATTGTAAACTCATAATCAATCACTTGAAAATCCAATATTGTGAATAGCAACATCATAGATAACAATTCTTGAAGTACACCAGCCTCGTCATCATTGACTGAACAGCAAATATTTCCCCTTATTTTCTAGGTCAGTTCAGGAAAGTAACATTTCCTCAACGGCCCTGGTATCATCATTGCCGGAAAGAGTAAGAAAAACTACTAGTGTATTGTAAGTGAAAAACGTTTTTGTTTTTCAAATAAATTTGAACAACTTTATTGTTATATGTGTTTCGTTTTAACCGCTAGAAATGTATATGATATATTGATTATATGAAAATATAATATCATCATTTATAATAATATATGCTAGTAATTATGCTTGACAAACTCTTTTCAAAGAGCTTTTTAAGTGTTAAGATGAAATAGAAATATCACAATTATGCATGAGTTCAATTTGATGAATATTCAATTATTTTTTATTACACCAACAATCATAAATAGATGTACATGTATATTGACACGTCTTATAATAATACACAAGTAATTCTAAATCATGTACATGTTTTATCTCTTTTATCATTATAACTCCTTCTTCTAGAATCGTAAACAAATGTGATCTGAAGAGAATTCCAAGTAGAGTCTTGACAAACATGACAAATATCCATATCATGTAAGTTATCTTTTTTCCTCAACTAAAGGGAAGTAAAAATAAACGTTCATTGTTTCGAATCAGAAATTAAAAACAACAAATCTAAACGTTTAGTAAAATCACTGGTCTAGATATAGCTTTAAATCATAGGGGTACTGATCTTTCTGACGATTAAAAAATTCTCCTAGAAGACAATACATTTTGTAATAGAAATGTTTCTTGATTTTCATCGCAAATTTGATTTTCTTTAAAAGAAACAGGAGTGTAATCAAACGTATACGTAATAAGCAGTCGTTAACCAATTTAGAAACGAAAGATAATTTCACTCATAAGTATTCATGCCTTCTTTTTAATCGTTTCAGACATTACTCAGTCACTAATCAGCCAATCAGCCAATTTCATGTTTAAGATCTCTTCTCAATTAGTTTAAAGATATCTCTGTTACATATATCAAGTAAATTACAAAACACATATTTCAGAATCAACAATGACTTATAATTTAAACATAGCTTATGGAGACATTGTTTGTCTTTTCAGAAATTTCGCAAACAACACCATCACTGAATTGGAAGATAATTCATTTCAGAATATGCTTAAAGTTACTTCGATGTAAGTTTCCTGTATGATTATTGTTAGTCTTTTTTTGAATAATGGAATGTTCTAACAATATGACAATGGTTGTTTAAAATGGTTTTTTTATTCAATTTCGTTTGTGTTTAAATGAAATAATTTTGTAGGAATGTTTGTGACTACACCCAATTAATATTTTGTCATACAGGTCCTTAAATTATAAATTAATCGAAATTATAAAATTGAAATATCGGATCATACAACCAACAAAATGTGAACTGCAACTGTGTTCATCTTTGAGGGCTTGTGTAGGAGCATTTTGGTAAACATATCCCACTGGTTTTTTATCTGAATTATTTTCAACTGCTTACCTGCAAAGAAGAAGTTTTTATGTGAGGTTGCAAGGGGTGTTACTTTTATTTACTTTTATTTGTCACGTCAGTCTCTACATCGGTGCAACATTAGCTTATGTATCTGTATTTGTTGTTTAAATGTGTTTACACTGATTCATTTTATACCTATTTTTTTCTTATTCATTCTCTCATAATTAATGGAATGATCAAGTTACCTTACCTTACAAAAATGATGGTCTATATAGATGGTCCCAATATATCATTGCGTTTTTAGCAATTGTTTTACTCCCTTTTCAAATACTCAAGTATTGTTATACGCTGCTCTAAATTTGAACCTTTTGTTTTTTATAGAAATTTATCTTATAACAACCTGACCAGAATAACCTCCAAGCCATTTAACAATCTGCCCTCCTTGGTTGAACTGTAAGTAAATACTTTTATTTTTACCTTTCTAGAAATAGGATTAACATCTATATGTCTGAAAAAAATTAATTACATATACTGTCAATAATTGTTTGAAGGCAGCTATAACATACGTAATTCGTAGATTTTACCCTTAGTGTTTATACACAGACACACCGAGCCGGATTTCAAATGTTATAGTTACTACATCGCTGTGAATGCTTTTGGTAAACGTTTATATATAATAAACAATGTGTTGATTTAAAAGTGCAATCATAATTAAAGACTTGTTATTCATAAGTACTTAATAGAGGAAACAATTGTATGGGTATTCTATACACGTATTACACCAGTTTTATAGAAAATTTCATTTTTTTAACTTATATTTTTTCTTTTATTTCATGTGAGCATGAGTGATATCGAAGTTAGAATGAACTTCAATAAACATATTTAAAGAAAACAGGAAGACAGGATCATTTTCAAATGCTCACCACAAGGCTATCAATACTATAAATATCATTATTATACTAACATAATTTCAACAATTTAGTCTATATTATACCGGCATAAGGCTTACTTTTCTTACTTTTCATTTAAAAAAATAAAAAGGGACTTACTAGTTGGTATCACAACAAACAGAATAGCCAAAGGACCAGACCCAATAATATGGTCATAATTTTTTCAATAAATAAAAAACGCAGACTAAATTGTTAATTGATGAATTATGATTGCGAATTAGGGTGAGATATTTTTAATAATATTCTCTTTTTCGGCCGTTGGCTAGTTGTTCTCAACATACGGGTCATTACACTGGTAAAATACAGGCTACACCTGCACATAATCCCAGCTTAGTAAACAGGTGAACTAACGATTTAACAATGACCGATTATCTATTTTAAACATACATGTACTTATTGTTAACAATAAATTAACTAAAAAAGCCTAACACGTCAAAATTAGAAACATTGCAGGCTCGGTTTGATTTTGAGCCTGTTCATTGATGGTAGTGGTAATTGAAATCTTTTGTATTTTGAAACATCCGCAGATGTGTTCATATAGTTCAAATACGGTTATCCTTGAACCTTCAATGTGACACGTTCGTGAAATTCAATGAAAACCCCATGGTAAAACAATGCTTGAGTCCTCACGAGAAAACAAGTGACAGGAATTTTGAAAAAGGGGGTTAGATGTAATGGAGCCTGCATATCATATATAGGCTGTCAAAGGACAAAATTAAATGCAGGCAACATGTCTCTTTTTGATTAAACTGTATTCAGGGGAGGAATACTGGAACCATCCTTCTAGAAAAACAAAACACCAAAGTGGATAAAACTCAAAATACCAAAAACATGCACTCACAAAAATGATGTCGTGCAGAACGATCTTCAAGGATAGAAAAAAACTGATGTGTAGCCATAAAGGTGTTCAAACGCTTAATTTTCCTTTTTTCTATCAAGTCTTTGACCCATATATACGAGAGTTGAGTGCTCAATATTAATCAATCATATAAATATCAATGAAATATGAATTATAAATAAAAAGTAATTTTCTTAATACGAACAGACTCAACGAAAATCGTCCGTATGGATTTCTGATGAGACTATAAACAAACGAATATCACAGAAATATCCAATGAATCATGATAAGTCTACAGTGAACGTTGCTTATCAGCCATTACATTTTATTTTCAGTTCTCTTGAGAGCAATGGATTAATCTTCATATCTTCAAATGCTTTTTTAATGTTACCCAAACTCGATGTTTTGTAAGTATAAAAGATTATGTGTTACTTTCTAAATCTTTTACAGTAAAATCATTAATATACTCATTCAATTAGTGTGTCTGTATTTAATGATGAATGTTTAAATTATTGTCTTAAAAGTTCCATAAATTTCAATATGATTTAATGTCATATATTAACTTATATTTTACAGATACTTTGATCACAATAACCTCCAGGACATCCCGTATAAAACCTTTAGAAATTCTCCAATAAAATATTGGTAAATATAATCTATAAACTCGCCAAGATATACTGTCAATTCCAAATGTTATGTGTCTGCATATAGTTAAACGTTACAAAAAAATTCTTTCCATATGGATTAGTTGGAATAAATATTCGCCAGATACTTGTAATATAAAAATCAGGTATATATTGGACAAAATGTTCGAATTGAAACAAAAATCTTATAAAGTACTTAAAGAATAAACAAATCATGTAATATCACACAATTAATTAAGTACTTTATTAGGGTTGCATTGTTTTTAATTTTATATTTTAGGCATCTTGCATACAACAACATCACCATGATTTCCTCCAAAATTGAGCATTTTCCTCACATCAACAGTCTGTGAGTTCGACATTTTCGATATGTCTTTCAAACTAGATTAAATAATGTATTTACATTTAACAAATATTTTCTATGAAATCAAAACAGGTGTCCTCTGCTTTTGTACTTTTATATCAGCGTGTATATCTGTTTCTATCAGCACCTTTCCTAGCCTTTATCTTCTGTATATTACGAACAGCAAGTAGAAGAAAATGGTTAATTGTAGTAATTTATACATAAACACTCATTTTTGTACATACACGTTATACAAATAAGATGTATTCATGTACTTTCATAGATCTTCATATAATTTTCTGTATACTATGATATATGGGTGTAATCATCTGTAAAAGTGAATTAAATTCGTTATCTATGTTAATCTCAAATTTTGACCCATATTAGCTAAATAATGTTTTATCTTTAGTCGGTCACATTATATTTAGTAAGTTATATATTTGCTTTATATGTTTAAATTAACACCATATAACAAAATGACTATTATTTTTCTTATTTATATATTTAGCGATATAAGACACAACAGATTGAAGAGTATAAGCCAGAAGTTATCTGTCTTGCATAACCTAAGAGAACTGTAAGTAAATGGCCAGACACAATGCTTTCATATTAATTTTCAAATTTTTGTTTATAGTTTCTATACTCTCAAGGGATCTTCTATACACACTTTCAGACATTGCTCAATAATGCAAACATCTGAGTTCAATATATAGAGACATATATTCAAATAATATATGAATCGATACATCTGCACAGCTTTAAAAGAATAAATCTATTTTGTTTTCTATATCTATACTGATTTTGCTGTTATGCTAAAAATGTGTCAAAACATTTCAACAAAAGTAAGTTAAGTGATAACCAAACTTTATTAACGTTCTACGATAATAATAATATAACTGAACTTTTATTTGCCGTCTCAGCTAAACTACAACAACAACAAACATAGGAACAAAAATGTTTAATTTGTTAATATAGAAATTCAAGTGAATGATTTCTTTAAAATTTGTCAATGAACGTTCGATTACAGGTGTGTATAAAGTTATGGAAAAATCATAGTTTTGAACCTGAAAATTAAATAAAATACATGCCGAAAAAAAAATCCATCGAACATCTAGTTGAACTTTTATTAGAACTCACATTTTATAGTTTTATTATCATTTCAAATTCTTTTTCTTTAGACCTAGTAGATAGCAAAAGTGTATCATAATGTTCATAAATCTGTCTCCAAAGGTGTGAATTTATCCCAATATGACTGGATCTTTTTAAATGCCAAAGCGAACTTTTAACATAAACTGCATCTTCGGAAATGATTTTTAAATTGTTTTTCTTGTACTTCATAATTATTTTGATTAATGAACTTTTCATTCTTTGTTTCTTATCTGATTTATTTTGTCTGTCAAGACATATATGTGGAAACCAGCTGACAACTTTACCATGGCAAATATCGAGTCTGCTGAAGAACAACAGAACGTTTCATATGTAAGATTCCCCTTTTTATTATAATATAACCGCCGTTCTAAATTTAATTGCGGCCTTAATTTGTCTGACATAATCTTGGGAATTAAATTTATTGTGTTTTATTTGGTTCAACTCCCAATACACATGTGATCTAACAGTGGCACTTATCCATAAGTCTGTCTGGAAAATGCCTATGTACTCGTTATTTAAGTATCCACATTTTGTCTGGTATCTAACTTTTTTTGCGTTTTCCCTCTTTATTGTATAAACATCATTTTAGAGTGTCAACATTTTCTGATGTTTTCTGATTGTTTTACTTTCAACTTTTGATAAAAAAATACATAAAAGTCGGCCATTATTGGAATAAATCAACATTGTAATGTTACCAATTCTTTAAAATAATTATTATTAAATAACATAAAATTGGTTATGGAATACGAATACTGAAGATGAATATTCGAAGTTCTTTTTTCTGATTTAACAAAAATTTATAATTCTAAATTTATCAAAATGTAATGCAAAATGTTTCTAAATGCTACAATTTGACGCTATTTGCATTTTCATCATTTTAGGCATTTTCAACACGAATAGTGATTTATATATTTAATTTAAATGACTTGACATAATTGAGCTATATTTGACAATCTTGACAATGATTTGTTTAATATATTGAATACATTTATATTGTTTCATATAGGGTGTTAGGGGATAATCCATGGCACTGCGATTGTGATCTTATCTGGTTAATATCATTCAGTCAGAAGGGATCGTTTTCAGAAAATCTGAATTGCACAACACCAGAAAACATTGGCATGAATGAATTTAACGTGAATGACATTGAATGTATTCAGGGTGTAGTTAATCGAGAAGGTATGACTGTACTACAATGATTTTTAATTAATGTAAGGTGTTCGCACAAACCATTGTATAGTAGATATAAGAATACTTGATTTAAATAAAATATCATGCCTTCCAAATTAATTTCAGACATTTCTCTATATTAGATAAATGTGAAGATATACGTATATGATTTAGAGATCTTAGACATAATGCAATATAATTTTTAAACCCGTGCTTTGATAACCATCCGTATGGTCTACAAGAGAAGAATGTTGTAACTTATAATAGATACTCTTATTTTTTGTATGGATCACACGAGTAAATAGACAATAATGTTGGTAAAATTTCATATAAGAAACTATAAGAAACTGTATTATCTGGTTGTTTTATTTCAGGAATTATTTGGTATAGACTTGTAGCTATAGTTTTGCCAGCTTTACTGGTTCTGTTTGGATTCATCATCGGTGTTTTACTGTATTTCTGCAAGAACAGAACTAAAAAACTGAAGAAACCAATACAAGTATGTTTTTAAATGACAATGTTTCTATTTACGTGAGAACAAAAGAGGGTGTACATCAAAATAATGAAACAGGATACACTTCACTTCACCACGTTTTATTTTTTGTGACTGCTTCTTTCTCTTTGGTGCATATAGAACCAATCAGGACACGTGACTTTACAGTCAGACATATATCGAATTCGCTATCATGTTGTATACTAAAATGTAACATTATTGAGTAAGGAATTTCAACTTCAGCTAATATGCTAAATGAATACATATTTTGGTACTTAATTCAAAAAAACAATAAAATCGGTATTTAATATGCTAAAATGCTATCGTTATCTTAAAGTAAAATTCGTTAAGCATTTAATTATTCTAATTATTTTTGAAATCTAACATTTTTGTGTAAATTTCATACCTGATCAATTTCAGATGATATTGAATGGTCAGTATTACAGACCAAGATCTGTTGCAGACACTGCCGAAGTTAGCATTTCTACGAGTACTTTACAAAATATTATTGGACCAAATGACAATGAGATCAAGGTTATATAATTCCTTTATATTTTCTTTTAAAATTTCTTTGATATAATAATCTCCTATATTTAATTATCTTCCTTGAAAGCCAAAGATATTGACTTAACACCTCCGTAAATATATATATGTCACTGACAATCGGAGAAATTTTGCTTAGAGGTCGCCTTCAGTATTGCATCTCTACAATAAAGTACAAAATAGTTTTATATGACAATAAAGCTGATATAAAGAAGGTTTTATCTTAGATATTTTATAAATTTAGAAGAGACTCATTAAGTACTGTTCATTCTGATGTAAAGTTATTAAAGTAAGATGCACCCATACAAGTTATGATGTTCAGTCTACATCTTTGCAACAATGACCTTTTATTTAACTCTATATATACTCTGTATGGTACATGTTAGTAAGTGTTAAATATACTCTTTTATAAAAGACATTTGTATTCATCTTATAAAAGTTGTGTGGAACACTTCGTCTCGGTAAACTTATCGGTAGAGGGGCTTTTGGTAATGTTTTTGAAGGATTTGTAGCGGATGCTGACTCCAAATGGAAGAAAGTTGCTGTAAAACAGATAAGAGGTACTGAATGTATGCTTTTAGTTTCCGTTTTGCCTTCTTATTTCAATTTATATGAACGACAAACATTCGAAGCCATTTTCAAAGTCTTATATAAACAACAGTCAATTATAAGATAAAATTTATTCAATAACATTTATTGTCTTTATTTAGTTGACACATTCATTCTTCAATTAAAACATAGGCTGCTTCATACTATTATGATAACAAAAGTGGAGAACAGACAATACGTGTTAACTGCCTGAAAGTTACATGTTAACGATACACCGACAAGACAGTTGAAATCAAAATAAAACTGTAAAATACAATCTCAGATAAATAGAAAGATGTACCTTAGTCAGTGGGGAAAACGCACGAAAGTAACATGAACAACATAAAAGCTGAAATTAGATTCGCTAAATTTAGATAAAAGCTAAAATCGCGTTGTTCTGTTCACGATATGGGAGTCGGAAAAAAAAGGGGAAAATTAAAGGGATTATGTACTTTTGCTGAATACCCCCTTATCATTTTAATTTTTCAAAATTATAACGGGGTAGTGAGGTTTTTTTTGGGAAAAAAGGGTTTAGTCAATTAGGCCCCGAAATCATATTAAAATATAACTATCACATGGTAACGCCGTCCCTGTTTAAAGTTTTTAGTTTGTAACATTATAAATATTTTTTCCTTTGAATCTAGTGTTGTCTTTAACTACTCTTCCTTTACATTTCTTTTAGAATTTTTCTAAAATATCAAATTTTATTTTAATTTGGGCTTTACATACGGGGTGGGGCTTATTTTAAAACAATTTGTGTCTTTAAAAACTTATAAAATGCATAATTTTGTTATCATATTTACCCGTTGCTATCTTAAATATTAATATGTTCCAAATTTGCTTCTTTTCTTGTATCATTTAGAAAATGCAAAGACAGACGACACAGAAACATTTTCAACAGAATATAGAACGTTAATTAGCATAGGAAACCATCCAAATATTATACAGATTTTTGGAACAGGAGAAATAGATGGTATGTAACATACGTTTACATACTTACAGCTTTTACTCTTATACACCAACTTTTATTCTTCAAGATTTATCTAATGAAATATTTTTTTAAAATGTATACATAAGCAAAATTACCTTGATTTCATAACGTTTTGGTCTAACAGTTTTGATTGCTCAAATGAGTTGTAACATTGAATGTCACTGTTAATAGTTATTCAAGTAAACTGAAAAACAAGATCAGGACAAAATGCTATGTTTCTATTTTAAGACAGGTTTTTATCGTTTAGCAATGATAAGCAATGATTTTGAAGATACAAAATTTGCTCTATAGTAAATATACAGATTGATTTCTGTTGGAAATATTATTTTTCAAAAGCAAAAATTCAAACAATAATTTTGTAAACGATAAGAATATTTTTATACACATGAAACTCTAGGCCAACATAATTAAAATTAGATTCATGAATATCATTATTTAAAATTAACACAAGACTTTAACATTGCAGGATCTTTGATAATGGTTTTAGAGTTTGCAGACAACGGCGACTTACTCGCTCATCTTAAATGGTTAGATCAGATAAATTCTAAAGTTATACAGAACCTCGACTCTTCTGAGTGGAAGGCATATTTACAGAACACACAGCCCCGTTTGTTTCTTTATATGTGGCACATAGCAAAGGGTATGGAGTTTCTATCGAGATTAAAGGTAACAAATATTGCGATGAAATTTTGGAAACTATAATTGAAATAATACATGCTTGTTCAGTCTTCATGTTTAATCATAATTTCATAAATAATTCATGATCACAAACCATAACTTTCATGATTGTTGGATTTCTATCTTAATATTTATTATTACCAAAACTGAAGTGACAATGATGTAATAGCTCAGTATCATTTATATTCTTGATATTTATATCATACTTATGGAAAAATGAAAACATTACCTGCAAAGTGTTTATAATTATAAATGTTATAACCATATCTTTATTAAGTTGTTGAATGCAAATGATCGATATAACAATTGATATGCACATGCTATGCTTTGTAAACAGCAATGCCAAAAATAGTCATTGTTTATGAAATGATTAATGTCTTCAGATTGTCCATCGAGACCTTGCCGGAAGAAATATTCTTCTGTCATCTGATTATGTAGCGAAGATATCAGACTTTGGTTTGTCACGAGATGTCCATGAGAATGGCTACTATTATCAAAATTCAAACGTCAGTATTAATTTCATATTAAAGCTTACCCATTGTTTTGTTTTAACATATATCCCGGGACAACCAATATTCAATCAGTTAAGCCATTTTTAGCCAATAATAAATGGAAGGAGAAATTATACTTCAAATTTATTTTAGCTATTAATGCATCTATCAACACTTTTTCATTTTAAGGTTGGTACATTTTCAACAAGTCTTGATCTTTCTTAGAAATTCAATAAAAACGATATGACCCACCCAGGTCACTCTCAGAAATATTTTAACCTAAATTCAAACAGCAGGGTAATCATTATGGAAAATTTGTTCAAGATAAATCAGGGCCACTTAAAATTGTAGGAAATTTCACAACAGTCTATTCAACGATTTTCAACAGTTTTTTCAAGATTTTAAAAAACTTACACTAAATGTTATAACATATATAAAGTACAATGCATTAGTATGACTACTGTTAATGTGTATAAAAAGGCAGTTAAAGGTGTCACTTCTTAGTACGCTATATGGGTTGCAAAATGATAAATGCATCCAAGCTTTACAGCATTTTACCTTCCCCACTTTATAATACTAGCAAATACGGAAACTTGTTTAGATCTGCCAGTTGCTATTGCCTACAAAACAATTATTCTACAATCATCACATGAAAAAAATGATAACAAATAAAGATCTTATTAATAAGGACCCCTACATAATGTCTGATGAAAACTTAGTGGTACATCATATAAATAAATGTTTTAAATACACCTAAGACTGAGGTAAATGGTAAAAATCTGTTAGTTAATACTTTATAAAAAAAATTTAATGTGCTTGGAAAAAATTTTCCACTATTTTAAACAAGTGACTATTTTGATATAGTTGAAGTTGGACAATTTATATTGTGTCACTTAAAACAAACAGTTTCTTATTGTTTTACTGATAACAACTGACAATTAATCAAGTATGGCATTTCTGCAAGTTTTGAAGTTAATACAACATGTGACTTTATGCAATTTAGTCAGACATGACATCAGTGCCACAGAATTAAGAATGTGTTTGAATTTAGGTTGTGATTGAAAATTGGTTGTTTCGGGATATAATCAACTATATTTACTTTCAAATAACATTTCAAAAATTATTTTGTAGAGCCTCATTTTATAAAGTTTATAAAACAAAAAATGGATGAACAGATACTAGTTACATATGAGACTAGGCTTAATCCAATCTTTGCCTTATAAGATATTGATACTACTCCAAGATTGTTCTGCATTGCAAATTTTATGTATCGAGTACAAAAAGAATAACATACTACCGTTAGTATTTGCAATACATTCAAAATGATGTTTAATTTAATCGTCATGTAGCAAATGATAATTAATGTTATTTAATATGCATGAAATATATTGATTGTTCCCCATAAATAATTTTGTTGACCGTATTATTAACCTACATGTATATAGCTTGTCTCAGCAACGTGTTTAAAGGAATACTCAGGCAAATTAAAGAAAAAAATATTAAAATGATTTTATGTACTCAAATCACGCTGAAATGACATTATTTAAAATCCCAGCATGAATTTCTGTATAATTCCTATATATTTTGGGTTTGAAGCGTAAATGCATCTATATATGTTGAACGAAATTTAGATGCCGATAGAATCACAGAGGTGTTTAAAAATTAAGTCGTGTGACGTTAACAAACCCTGAAAGTTACAATAACAGATATTGTGGATATTATATGATTGAAACAAGTGTAAGTCATTCATTTGACATGTACTTTAACGTTTCCAGATTTAACTGTGACATTTATTGTGAAATCTTAAAGCTCTAACCTGACCCACGTGGGTCATGTTAGGAAACCACCATTTTATTCTTTATAAGGAGAAACGTTTTGTTACTTTGACTGTGTAGTGCATTCATTTTGAGGACATTTACAGAATAACGAACGCTAGATTCAAAACTAAGAAAATAAAACTTCTGCCTGTGTCTCCCTGTTTAGTCCTTGTTTTTGCGGTAAGATTACCTTAGACCCTTTCCGACGCAAATGGATGAGATATCTTTACTTGAGGCTTAAAGCAACCTTCAGTTTTTCTAAAGCTTAAATATGTTATTTTTAGTTTCATGTTAATCGTTTAATATAAGTGTCAAATTAAAAGAATTAAGCTGAAAAATGAAATTAGCCGACGATGAAATACAAAAACAATAAGGAAACCTCTCGATATATCTAATCTACCGGTTTGCTGTCTATATTTAAATTAATAATGCTGACGATTCGTTTCCCGATGTTTTATTTTTAAAACGAATGTCGGGGTATAAATAGCTCTCGGGACGTTGTTTTGAAGAAGGCTTACAGTGATTTGATGCACTCTTCCAATATAAAATTACTGAAATACTTAGTTTGAAACAATACAAAATGGTTTTTTTATCAATAAATAAAATTAAATCGTAATTAGTTTGTGCTTACAATAGATTCAAACAATACAGTGTAATTTATTTAAAGTTACATGAAAATTGCGAAATATCTTTATATGAACAACTTTTTAGGGAAGAATGCCGTATAAATGGATGAGTCCCGAATCGTTATCCAGTGGGAGATACACCTGTAAAAGTGATATTTGGTCGTTTGGCATCTTATTATGGGAAATCGTGACTCTAGGAGCCGGTCCTTACCCTGGAATACCACCGGATTTGCTACTTGATATGTACAGGAATAATTACATCATGCCCCCACCTCCACTTTGCCCAGATTATATGTAAGAACATTATTATATTTTAGGAAACAATTTGTTATCCCTTTTTTACAGTTTTCAAAATATGATTTAACTTTGCAGACAAATTTAATTTAGTATTGATATTGATAAATACTTCATCAATATAGCTTTTCAAAATTGCCTGAAATCGACAGCATAATCATGTTTTGGTTTTAAGAATATTAACACATTTTTTATTTTGTAATGATGATGTGTCTTTTTCTAAGATAACTAGAAATTCTTATACGATTGTATCGATGTTATTTACCATTAGATTAAGACGTGAGAACTTTTCTCTTTTTTCTTTTTCAACTTTAAAATTCTTTTCACTTCTAATATCCATGTGTGTCAATAGAAACACACTTTTCTAAAACTCCTTCGGGATATGACCTAATAGATGATTCAACGAGATTATACTTTTATGCAGCATATTTGTCAACACTTTCTTTAAGAGACTGGCTGGCGCAATGACGAACGCTAATCCGATTAATCAAACGTATTCATCAAAGGTTGAACTGTTTATGTGACTTTCATGTAATTTTATCTAGAACTGGAAACTAATACGCAATGTCAAACATTTGTAGACTTTACTCAGTCTTTATTGATGCATTGTAAGGTTTTAAATATTATTTTTCAGATACAGTATAATGGAACATTGTTGGAACTTTCTGCCGGAGAATAGACCAGGATTTGAAACCTTACTGGAAACATTTGATAAATTGCTTCAAGCAGTTGCACAGAAGGCGAGTCATTTCTGTATTATTCAACTATTGCTTGTAAATCAAAATCGATAAAATTCAGTAAGTTGGCAAATTTAATTCCCCACTCACCACGCTTGTTTTTTATCTTTATGTTCATTGGTTTAACGTCTTACATACATATGTTTTTATGCCATTGATATATCATTTTCAGTGCTTAGAATAGGCATGGGTAAAAGTACTATTGATATACTCGTTCATATTTTTTCAAATTTATAAAAAAGATATAACCGGATTAATCTTTTATTTAAGGACAAATTTTATTCATACTTGGTCAAAATAACACATTCATGAAAACATTACGCTACGAAAATCAACGATACACTTGAGGTTAAAATGACATTGATTATCACTGTAAATGTATTGAATTTTGCTTGTTTAATAGCCGCCATGTGAGGAAATTCAAATATGGCCTTGATATTTAGATAACCATAAAACAATAAATGCTGTAGAATCTTGTAATTTACGGACAGATTTATTCATGTTAAGACACAGCGACATGTTGAATAAAACCACTGCTTTGCCAGAAATGAATAAGAACTTAACTTGCAATGACTTCATATGATTACAATAAATAATTTCTTTGATGACATTGGAATTCATAGATTAATTTGGTTTACTTTGACCAACTTTTATATCGAGTTATTGAGCTATGATATTGACCTATTAAATACCTTAATAAAAGCCTTTATTTTGGTTTCGTAATTGGTAAAAGTTTGGCTTCTGCTTGTGGCTGTTCTTGTATTAGGATATTTTGCTGTTAGCAGGGGTATTTATAACCTTCACAAGAAGTTCAGGTTATTATTCAATTGAACTTACAAATTTGAAAGAAGATTCAAGTTAAAATGAATAATTTTACAAAATTGCATAAAATTATTATTTCAGGAGTACATGGAAATAAGCACAGCGGACGCAGAATAAAAAGACATGCCTTTTATACTGTTCTAGTAAAATATTTATCCTTCGAGTGAGTGTATAACAAATGACATATCATAAAGGATAGGCTCTGTAAACATGCAATAACGTGCTATAGCCAGGTTATTATACGTATGCTGAGTATTTGTCTTTTAGAGCCATTAATTGTGAATGATTGAATTGACAATTTATTCACGTTTACGCAGTTTAAATGTCTGAAGTGAGTAACAAAGTGTAAATGATAAGTGAACAAGTTCAAGTCAAATTGATTTTAAATTTTGTCAGAATTGTTTTTATTTATCTAGTCTGATTTCATATTTCATTCTATTAACTATTTCTATAATCAAGTATTAGTCAGTCACCATCATTATAGTCAATCTGTTGAAATATATAGGCCATCTTGACACCGCAAAAAGTGATCATATTGACACTTATACATTGACGAAACGACGACAGCTTAGGTCAAGTTATAGCCTAAGTAACAGCTGACTATAAAGACGATTCATACGAAATTTAAATGAATTTTATATTATTGGCGGCAATTATATTTATAATAAGATATGATTTATCCGAGTGTTTAACAATTGATATAGAGAGATAACTAACGGGATATTAAAAAGTGGGAAATCACGCATAGGTTATGAATTAATATAAACTTAATGTCAACATTTTCATTTGTTTAGCAAACACAACAAGCATAGTCCATGCATTGGACTGATTTAAAACTAAAATATAATTAAACCACAGTGAGACTGAACGCGGACGAGGCATTACAGCGACCTAACATTACAGTTACAAGTGTCAGCTATGGTGAGTATATAAATCTGGACTGCAAAAAAAAACAAGAAAAACCCACAGGAATTGAAACTAAGCCGATTCGGTTTAATAGATAATATAGTTTGTCGAGTTATTGAAGTGTTGCATCTCTAAATTAATGATGGGATTATTACAAAATTGCATACATGCACGCACGCACAGCTGCTTATCCTTTTTTCTTTATAATTGTCTTCGTTTATTTCTGATCCATTGTTACACCAAGAATTATAGCAATGTAGATATCAAATGTGTTACACATTAAGTTTGGCCCTTTGTAGTATTTTTAGTTGTTTTAAAATTCCAACAAAAATAATATGAAATATATAATGGTGAATCAAAAGTTTAAAGAGGGGTTTAATTTTTAATAATCCAACATAAACTTTTTTGTGTTTTCAATGCATGTTTACTGCCGCTTTTAAAAACGTACTTGTGTCTAACAAGTGTTTTAAATTAGAGTTTTTTTTCAAAATGTGGAAACAAGCAGTATTTAAGCATAATACTTGTGCAGTCTATTACATTTTGGACAAATTCAGTAATGTTTTCCATATTTGAAATACTTTTAGGAGTTGAAGAAAACAATGTTAGAAATATACACAAATCATTTTGATTTTTGTTTCAATATGAACACGTTGACTCCTTCGTAGGGTGGAAAAGGTGAGATGTATACTTAAAAGTGTAAATAATATTTGTATCATTGCTTCGAACATCGGCAGTAGAAAGTCTCTATGCTGAAGCAGGAAAACATTGCCTTTATCTACGTCAAAAACAACTTTCTCTTCCAAATACATCTAGGATATCTTCGAATAGTAAAGATCAGGTTTAAACATTATTTTTAATCAAATTTACAGCGTTATTGATATAATAAAACCAAAAGAAATTTAAACCATTAATCCTGTGTTAAACACACTTGAGAAAAAATTAAAATAAACCCAAATTATGTTCCAATCAGAAGTTAATGTTGTTAGTCTTTCAACTTTATCAAAGTAATCCAATTTTTCTAAAAGAAACATTTAGTCACATTCTTAAAAGAGCATGAAGATTTTATCCGTATTTACACGGTTCAAAATAAGGTTGCAAAGTAGGTACAGCCGGTTTTTGAAAATACTGTTAAATTTACAATAGACTTATTAATAGTCCTACATTTTCTGCTGAAGCAAAAGCTATTGATTTAGTTTTGTCATACATTTTACAGCTTATTTGTAACAAATTTGAATTTTTAGATTTACTCTCCGTGAAATTATCAATTAAAATTGAAATAATATTAGATAAAAAAATACTTGTTGCTATTTCTTGATATCTTAAAAACAAAATCAGTGAAATTATGTTGGATCCAAAGCCACACGAGAATACGAGGAAATGAAGTAGTTGCTTTGGCTAAAAATTCATGAACTATCAAAAAGTTGTCGTTACAAAATAGTTATTTTAAATCTTAAATAAGTAAGATGATATCATCTGAATGGAAATCAGACAAACTTCGTGACATAAACCCCTGACCTGTCACGACCTCTATCTCTTGTAAACCGTCATGATCAGGTAGTTCGTTTTAAATGTAGAAAAGAACAAATTACATATTCCAATCTTTTAACAGGTGGTTGTAGTTCTTTTTATACCTTACAATGAACTTTTCACTGTCAAACATGTCTTCGTTGTATGCCATGATCTTACATGTATATTAACAATCATAGTGTTCCACGCGGCCTGGCCAGTAATGTGACATTGTACCATTAAATATGATAAACAAGATCAACAAGGAAAGGCGGCGAGCAACGAGCGCAACCCCCACACGACCCAGCAACAAGAACCAGCGGCAAGGAGCCCAGGCTGACACCAAACAAAAACAGGACAGAGCTCAAGACAGAGCACGGACAGAGCACGGACAGTGTTGCATATTGCATTTTAAGTTTACTTAGTCATACATTTTATATAATTCAAAAGAAAGACAATAAGTGCATGGATTTTTATTATAAAATGAACTTGAAACATGATAAGTTTTATGTATGTTATTTGACATTATACATGCAGAATGGACTGGGTGGTAATAAATGTCAGAAAGATTAATAATGTACATGAGAATATACGTGTTTCATAACATTTTGTGTTAATAACTGTCATTATAAATAGTGGTCTCAACGCCCAGTCTAGGGAATTCGAATTTGGCAGTTGACTTGTACACTTGTGTATTTTTATATTAAAATATGAAACATCTGTGCGTTCTCTCTCCGTAATACGACAACAGGTCAATCACCAAAATGATAAATAATTTGTTACTGACAAGGAACCAAAAAAAAACCCCTTTTTAATCCTAGTTACAAAAATACAAACAATCATTACTCCGGTATTTTGCATTGTTTTAGTTAATTAGTTTTACTGTTATGTGTAAAGTTCTTTTCAGCAATTACATTATCAAAGCATCATAATACTTATTTCATAACCCTTTGCATTTGATCATTAAATACACGCATTGCAAAAGACTGTAATTACAGTAAACATAGCAGATTACGATGAATAAAGACTTCCAACAGACCGCATTAAACATCCACTTGTACAATGTAAAACATGGCCAAAATAAACGACTTGGATTCTACGCTGCTTTTGAATAACGCTTGATCTAGTTTTCAATTTGTATGGCAAATTACTACATAGAAATTAGGATAATATTTTGACGAGGGTTGAACCCTATGATTGCAAACGTAGGATAACTTTTTGTATAAAATTAAGACCTGGGTTTTGCTTAATTTCTTGCGCATGTTGCTAACAGTACATCATTGTATTATAAGTACGGTTACCAAATCCGACTGTTAACTGTTTCAAATTTGATTGGTTAAAACTCGAAATTGGGTAAAATCTTGGGGCCTAATTGGAATGTTTATTTTTACTAATGTTAATTGCAACACAAGGGTTAAATTGTATTTAGTAGCTAGTGTTGGCCAACGGACATGACAAGTAATGCTTATTGTTCTTTTGATTAATACTTTATATGTTTTTTCAACCTTGGTTAAAAAGGTGAAATAAGTAAAACACAGAAATGATCATGTTGATACATATACAAGTAAACTCAATGACCATAACAAAGGTACACAATGTTTTAAAGCAAGAAAATCACCTACAAGGGCCCGACGAAGCAAGACAGAAGACGAACATTAAGACAATTTAGTTCCAAAGGGCTTTAAGAACTGTCTATCATAGAGTCTCATACATGGTCCGTCAGATGTAATCAAAAGAGGAAAGCGTAGTGTCCAACTGTAAAAGGTTTGAACACTAGGCATGCAGTATGTCTTAAAACAATAGGGTCAGAACCTCTTTTAATAAAACGTTTAATGATTTGATGCCGTTGGCGGCATGGCCGAGTGGTTAACGCGTCGGATTAGTAATCTAATGATCGCTAGCTGCATGGGTTCAAACCCCGTCAGGGGCAAGTCGTTGTTTCCTTGAGCAAGAAACTAAACACTTATTGGTCAGTACTGGTTGGTTCCAGGAACGGATTCGAAAGTGTGTCTATAAGCTTATAGCTTCCTACACAATCGAACTAAAATAAATTATGTATAAACCAAACAGCAGAAAAATGACCTAAAATCTTACGACGTTTGTAAATCACATCGCTAAAAAGGTGTCTAATCCCCTGTTGCAGAAGTGTTTTCAAATCATTACTGAATTTTGAATGAAACCAAAATTACGATTGTAGAATTTTGTTAAAATCGTTTACGTTGCTACAAGGTCTAGCGAATCTAATTAACTGAGAAACATACACCCCGGGCCTCGTCTCCATCTTAATGTGAATAATTAATTATACAAAAGTTAAAGTCATCTCTTTTTTATATATTTTTGTATGAATAGAATTGTTGTTGACATTAATATGAAGATCCAAAAATGATTTACTTAAATGTCAAGAGTTCGATTTATTAACTTGTTGTTCATGGGGATACATATCAGACACTATTTGATCAAAATAAAACTATCTAAATTAAAAATATAATCAAGGTATCTGGAAGTATTATTATTAAATACTACCATAACATCTTGTTGTGTATCTTCAGAGAGACATAACATGCAATATAATTGCATAACACAAATCATACAATGTAGTCACCAATGCTTGAAAAATATTCCTACAACGTCATATATCGCAGCAGGCAATAAAGTATTAAACACCAGTTACACAAATTGCTTGTCTTAAGAGGATTATAATGGAATATAATTATAACATACGGAGTGATATAAATCCCCTTTGTGTGATATATTAGTACATACAACATAAACATATTAACTTTATGAATATCATTTTATTCCCCCATGTATATTGTCATTGTGGTGACTGTGTGACAGGATGGTTTTATGGGCTTCGTTCCTGGAACATTGCTGTCTCTTTCTCTCCCTCTTTTATTGAACTTAACTTTCAAACTATGTGTGTTAGACGTATTTACAGTCGTTTTTGCATAATTGAATCGATTTTCTAGCTCATTTTCTAGAAAATATATAATACATAAATTTGTTCTATTCAAACATCTTTATGTCGACGTAGCCAGCCGGCATATATTTCTAATGAGTTCATGTGACTCAATGAAAAAAGAAGACTGAAATATATGTATATCCAAGATATATTTTTATTACACAACTCAATACATCAATGGTCATGTGGTAACTGCCAAACAATAATTACAAAAACAGTCAAACAGAATAGTAATTAAACTTATACAAGTTACAAACAATTTATTATTCTATTGTCTTAAAAATTAATAATAACAAGATAATTTAGAAAGTTAAATTAAAAACTAACTAACTAACTAACCTGAAATATATATAATAGTTATATATATCCAAGATGTATATTTATTACACAACTCAATACATCAATGGTCATGTGGCAACTGCACCGATGCATACATTTGTCACCTGACCATCGGCGATTCAGTTACGGGTGACAGGTTAGTATGATTGCATTGTTAGTAAAAGTTAACATGAAATGTAAGGTGGATAACGGGATTTGAGATCATGGATTGTAATTAATGAAATGGACTGTATATAAAAACGACACATC